CAAGCCAGAATGAATTGGTTGAAATGCTAGGTTCTCTATATCCTCACCAATAATTGCTATTAAGGACCATCCTGTATAGGGTTTCCGAGGAGCGGCTTACTTGCGATCAAGTGCTTATCCTACAGCACCACACCAGTAATAGCTATTTTCAATCTATGCAGGAGTCCTGGTGTGGTGCTGCTGGTTCATGAACTGGACTGCAAGGTTGGTTTGAACCACAAGGTGGGAGGTTCAAGCTCACCAGCCACTCCTCAGAAACCCCATACAGAGTCGCTCTAAGTTAAAATACTCAACAGCACTCAGTAACAACAATCTATGTAAATTTAAAAACAATTACTTCATTGTTTTCATTCGCATTTCCCTACTATTGATAACACTAAGCATCCAATTACATATGTTGGTGGGCCATTTTTATAACATTTATGAAATCATATGTTTTGTGATCATTTTTTATTGGATTGACTTTTATAGCCATTCTGAATGTTATCTCTTAGTTTATTTTCTATTATTGCTGCTATCTGTGTAGTGTATCTTAGTCTGTTACTTATCTTTTACAATTTTTTATGATTTTATGATGTTTGTATTACACAGAAACATTTTCACTATTAAATCTGTCCCTTTACTTCATTAAAGATTTTGGTTGAGATCTTGCTTAAGAAGAGCTTCTTTCTCCACTAGGATTATAACATATCCCCTTATAGTATCTTGCAATACTTTTTTTTTTTTTCTTGCCCTTTGAAATCTTCTATTCAGCTTTTTTAGTTCATTTGTTCCATTTGCTTTAGCTACTTTATGTTCAAGAGCAGGTTTTAGAGTCTCTTCTGGTCTTTTAAATGATCTTTTGCTTTCTTTATATAGGATGTTTTTGATATTACCCCACAACTCATCTGTGTTCAATGCATAAACTTTACTCTTGTGATAGTCTATAAACTCAGGTGTGATATAATCAAGGTTGTACTTTGGCTCTTGTGGACTTATTTAAGTTTTATCTTCATCTTGAACTTGTATATGAGTAATTGACAGTCTACAATTCACCCCAGCCCTGTAATGACTGATGATATTGAGCTTCTCTATTGACTCTTTCCACAGATGTAGCGGATTTTATTCCTGTGTATTCCATTTGGTGAGGTCCACATGCATAACTGCTGTTTATGTTGTTGAAAATGTTGGTCTTATAAAAGTCTATCCTATGGTCTCTGGTGTTGTTACTATTACCAAGGCCATATTTTTCCATCTTTCTCATTCCAATTACCAGTAATGATGAGTGCATCTTGATTATATGTTTAACTTCAGGAGACACTATCTAAATAGTTTCCAAAGTGGCATCTTGCAATACTTTATAGTTCTATTTCTATAGTTCTACTACAAAATAAGGCCATTTGAACCTCAAACTATTTTGACAAATGGTATACTAGAACCACGTGCATAGCTTCCCAAAGTAACTCCTCTGAGGATAGTATTAATTTAGCTGAATAAGCAAAATCAAACAACAGATCATATTTATACTTCTGACAGCTATATGTACAAGCACTAAAAAACCGTCTGTCCCAAAATGTATCTTCCACTGCTCTACCAAACTACCAAAATTCAGAATACTTTAATCTGAAGGAATGACACCGCTGCTACAATCAAGTGTATCTTATGCAAAGTTCAGCATACAGAGCTATTAACTCGTTAGCGTGAATTTGTTTGGCATAAATAATTGTTACTCAATTAATTGTTATCCTCGGCTGACACAGACCAACAGAACATAACTATTTGGAGGCAAGACTGGCAGAGCTGGATGGTCACCAGAGGAGACACTGCTCATCTTTGAAGTGAGCATAGCCCCGCCCACACCCACTTCAGTTCTAGACGTGCTTATTAAACAGACCAGACAAATATGGTTGCATGGTCCAAGCATGTGGTGATTTTTATTAAGAATAACTTTGGTTCTAAGAATTCCAACCTCAAATCTGTAATACTTTCCATTAAAAACAATTATACAAGAGCAAATACAAAAAATATTAAATTATGAAAAAAAATCCATTAAGGCTCCCTTTATATATATTATATACACTCAAACAAGTCAAGATTTTTCAGAGTAGAAGAATAAAGTCAACTGTTATAGCTTAGAAAGCAACACTACTTTACTACCAGGAGACTATAAAACACTGAACTAGTTTAAGAAAACCATAGAGTGGAAAATAGAGCCATTTTTCTCAAAAAGTGGCTCAAAGCACAAGCTGCTCAGATATGCAAGAGTCCTAAGGGTTTGGACTGTACAGTATCAAGGTGTGAGGGGTGACCGGTCATCTTTGTAAACTTGCGCTTGTGAGCCAAGCTGATCTGACCATTTCAAAGAGCTTTTCTACTTGTACTCCCACTGTTTAGTTATAAAACATCACCTGACGCTATTTACAGACCTTGGACTACTTACTTACTAACTACAAATAATCCTGCAGATTCATAAAACTGGGAAGAGAATGTTGTTCTAACTTTTATTTTCCCCAGCGAAGACTGAATCCAAGGCAAATTCTTGGAACAGAATTGGTCCCTCTAAAGGAAACTGTGTAAGGGCCCTTGAGAATTTTATCAAGTGGCAAGAGCTGCTTCAAGGGTACAGACCTAAAGACCTACAATCCAGTTAGACAAGAGGGATCTGAGACAATCCTGAATCTTCATTTTAAAAGTCACATCGTTAGTCCACATACACAGAGAGAGAACTCAAGTCAAATAAGCAATCAGAAACATACTTTCAAGACGATCAGTCAACGCACTTTCTTCTCTCCAAAGGAAGGAAGATGGGGAAAAAGTTACCAATACATCCCCCACCAGCAAGTGATTCTAGAGTAACGTTTTAGCTTAAGCATCTCATAGTTTATTCAGATAATACTTGCTGATGAGATAAAGAATCCATTTCAGGTGTAATCAGCTAACATGTTTCTCTAACTAGCAGTATATTATCACTGAGTTCACATTAAGATTAAGTATGGGCATAATCATCACTATTAAAGCTAAACTAAAGCAATCTCACAGAAAGCTATTTTCTACCCTCCTTATTAAGGACTTGAGGCTCAGAATCCAGCTTTCTATGTGCCTTAAAAAGAAACAGAAGAAGGATATCATACGTAAAAATTACTGGCTGAATCAACTGTATAGAAAGCATACTGAACTCACACAAATGCTTCCATAACAACTCAAGTAGAATATACTTCTGCCCATAACTTCTGTATATGATAAATTGTGTACGCAAATTTTCCTAATATTCATAACTTGGGCTTTTGACTAGCATGCTAGTTAGAATGAGGAAACTGAGCAGCCTCTCTCTTCCCCTCAGCTTTTCCTGAGAGATGCACTGTAGTAGTCATCAACATCATCATTATCAATAGCATCATCATCACTAAGTGGTGAAGTGGTCTTTCTTCACAAGAAAAAAGAGAAGGCAAAGAAATTAGTGACTATTAATTCAAAGCTTGGCCTCTGATCATACTCAAAGGGCAAAAATTCTACAACCATCTTCCAATTAACTTTCCTTGAGACCATTCTACATTTGTTTCACATTAAAATATCCAAAGAACCCCTCACTACCCAGCTCCCAACGGGCACTTTCCCCACACTGCTCTCAGGAGAAATCAAGAGATTTTTGGTCCCTCTACGTTTGACAGGGAAGTTGGGTTATATGGACTCATCTCCATTCTCCAGTGGCTTGGGAGAATAACATCACAAAGGGCTAGTTCAAGCAAAAAGTTTTAACACAAAACAATGTGAAAACAAACCTTACAAGTGGTGAATTCATATGATGTACCTTCTCTGAACTTAAATGTCACCATGTAGCAGAGAGAGATCTGAAAGGAACTAAAGTAAGATCAAGATGGATGTTTACTTCTTTTTGTTTATGTTTTTAAACCTTATCACCCTATTTCAGAGTTTAAGTGCCAACAAAGATAATAGCTGTGCTCAACATTAACATTAATATTCTCTGGTGTAAATTCTAACATGGGTGGAAAGGATAAATTAAACAGGAAAAGTTCAGGTCCTCAAAACAGAATTTACAGACAATGAATGTAACAGATTAAACACATTTCTATGCCATCTAAATTATTTAACAGATGACAAAAAGAAGAATTAAACACAATTTCTCTAGCTTTTAAAAGAAAACAAGGCTCTGTGCCCACTAAACTTGGACTGGAAGATAAACCAAGTAGTGCAACTCTCAAAAATGTATTCCAGTGTCCTCTTCCTTTTTGTTATTTTTTGTTTTTAAGTCTCTGAACACAGGTCCATTATTCCAACTTTATGTGCTGGTCAACGTCCTTCATTTGGCCAATAGGAACTAACTGTCATAGGCAATTTATCCACCCAGACTGTAAGGGGAAGAAGACCAAAACCAAATCCTTTTTAAATCTGCTGGCTGGAATTCCATCCAGGGGCTCTGCCCTGAGGTTAAGCACTGCGGAGGCATCTACAGACATGGCTTCTGTGCGGTGTGCTGGGCCGGGACCCGCGAGATCTCGGGCAACCTCAGCCTAGGACTCCTGGGCTTGAGCCACTTCTTGGCCTGTTCTCCTGAGATTGCCTTTTACCTTCACAAACTCTGGGGCGTTTTCTTGTTCATCTTGCAATTTCTGCTTCTCGAGTTCCAGCTAAATGAAATTCAGAGATACATTATTTGCAAAACCCAAAAAGTTATTCAAAAATTATCTCCTGATCCCTCTTTTAGTTTATTTTCTCTTTTTAAAATCATACATATTTATATAAGTTCTCAGTAATTCTGTGTAGTTAAAATAAAAAAACAAAACAAAACTGGTTGCTACTGCAAAAAAAAAAAGAAACAAAAAAACAAAAGAGGTCCCAAACCCCAAAACCAAATCCAGTGCCACTGAGTCAATTCCAGTTCACAGAGATCCTATAGGACAGAGTAGAACTGTCCTATTGGGTTTTTAAGGCTTTAAGGAGCTCTGGTTTTATAGTGGTTATGAGTTGGGCTGCTAATCTCAAGGTCAGCAGTTCAAAACTAACATCAGTACCACAGGAGAAAGATGAAGCTTTCTGTACTCGTAAAGATTTAGTCTCAGAAACCCTATACAGGGTCACTATGAGTCAGAACCGACTCCGCAGCACACCAATACCACCAATATTTACAGGAAGTCCTGATATGGCACTGTAGTATCAGTACTAGACTGCTAACCATGAGGTTGGTGGTTCAAATCCACCAGCTGCTCCTTGGAAATCCTCTACAGGATCTCTAGTCACATGGCACTTAACAACAACAATATTTACAGATGGGAATGTGGTGGCTCTGTAGGAGAAGCACTAAACTGTGAACCACAAGGTTGGCAGTTCGAGCCCACCAACCACTCCATGGGAGAAAGATGAGACTTTCTGCTCCAGCGAAGATTTATAGCCTCCAAAACCCTATAAAGGGTTCCTATGAATCTGAACCAACTTGAAGGCACGTCTCTCTCTCTCTCTCTCTCTCTCTCTCTCTCTCTCTCTCTCTCTCTCACACACACACACACACACACACACACAGTCTTCACAGAAACAGTCTTCCATGTCTTTCTCCCACAGAGCAACTGGCGGGTTCGAACCATGAACCCCTTGGTTAGTAGCCACATGCTTTAACTACTGCAGTATTCCTGCCCCTCAAGAAGTGACAAGAATCTAAAATTCAAGCTTTAAAAAAAAAAAATGCAGAGATAAATAACACAGTTGCTCTGGACTCTTCATCAAGTCTGAGTTCATTAAATTACCTGAAATCCCAATCTTCTGCTATGAACTCAGTACTTCCCTATCTGGGTTTTGTCTCCTGGATGTCCAGGAGGTCCTTGTGTCATTCTTGAATAGACTTTATCCAATTTGGTAACATTTCATCTCAGATCTTTTTTTCATGGTATAAACATTTACATTTCCCATGTTTGGTAATTCCTGCTTGTTCCAATGATATTGATTCTTATGTCTCAGGACAAAAAAAGACTGCCTTCAACAGCCCCAATTACTCCTACCTGCTCCAACTTCTGCTGCCGTTTTAACAGTTCAATTTCTAAGTCAGATTTCTTCTTTTGTGCTTCTTCTTCCTTCTGCTTTATTACTTGGTCTCGTTTCCTCTTTTCCATCACTTTCTGCAGTTCTGGTTTATTCTGAGGGGCAAGACCCCTACCAAAAAAAAAAAAGTGTTAACACAAGTCTAATCTCATGGACACACGTTCATCAACAGAAACTTAATTGAGGTTTTCAGTCATAGAATAGTGGTCTAATAAATTAGCACGATTATAGTACTTACTACGAAGTTAACCAGTTATTAGACAATATTGGTGGTCTCCGAAATTCACAAGCATCAAAGAAATGATAAGAGCATCTTCTAAAAGACTGCACAATTCGTTCATTCAATACTAATGTATTGCGTTAATGAGGGTAGTTGGTGTGGAAGGCAGGAAACAAGATGCTCTAACTATGGAGACACCCAGAATATGAGATGGCTGGACTTTGGAGTCCTGGTGTGACGCTGTGGGTTAATGCGCCAGACTGCAAAGCCGTTTTTAATAGCAAGGTAGGCGGTTCAAACTCACCAGCTGCTCCTCAGAAACCCTATACACAGTCGCTATGGGTCGGAACCGACTCAACAGCACTTAGCAACAAGCACCACCTGGAGTTTGGGAGAAAGCTTGGCCCTGTATACTAAATGCAACCTCCAGACTTGGGTTATTACAGACATTTAGACAGAAAAATCACCCTGGACACCTCTTACAATCCTTCAGTGCTTGGACCTGGAAAAGGGTTCTTGTGTATGTAAAGGGAAGCCCAAGGTATGCCCACGACGGCTGAGGGGCAGCAGCAGGCTCTGAGCTTCCCACATCCAGGGCAGCGCTCCTAACCAGTTGCAGATGCATAGTTTATTGTTTACAAGGCATGGGAGTAAGCTTCAGGGAAATTCTCCACTTCTGAGAGAGAAACTAGGCTGTCACCTCTTCACATGGGGATCAACAAAATCAAAATTTAGGCTGCTCACTAACAAGCCCTCCTCCCCCATCTAAAAGGTCTATGGCTACTCAGGTGGAAGACATTCATATTGATATCTCTTCCCGTGGGATTTCCAGACCATGTCTAATGTTAGCTAAAACCAAAGCCCAAACATGTTGCCATCGCGTCAATTCTGACTCATGACGACCCTGTATGATAGAGAACCACAGGGTTGCCAAGGCTGTCATCTCCACAGAAGCAGGCTGCCACATCTTTCCCTGCAGAGTGGCTGGTAGGTTTGCACGATCAACTTACTGTTAGCAGTTGAGTGCTTAACCACACTATACCACCAAGACTCCCCCATTTGTTAGCTAGGATTCTCCTTTTCTCTGTTTCCTTCACTGTTTTCTTAGGATTTCTCCAGTCCCAGTTACACAAGGTGCTGGCTTAGGCAACCTACTTCTTCTCTTCACTGCCTTAATTACTTTAGTCAGTCTCCACTAGCTCTTAAGTATTTTCAACTTGATATTAAAATGCACTAGGGGTGTTTAAAATAAAAATGAAATAAAACCACAGAAAAAGAAAAACCCTAAATTTCTGGAGGCATACTGGGTAAGCTATGATTAATTGCACACGTACGCACGCATACACTGGACTGAACAGAAACTCACGCTTTTCTGAGTGCAGGAAATGAGCACTGCTGAATCACCTTGTGACTCAAAGATGGACGGTGCACCCCACACACCCCTTTTCTGTTCTCCCTGATGATGACTGCTGTCTAGCTACCTCTTGTTCTCTAAAAAACTGCAATCAACTCATGGGACTCATCAACTTGGAGTCATACGAATAACTGTTAAATCACATCATTTCAGAAATATGGGCTCTAGTTTTAAGAAATTCAACACCCAATTCATCTGAATGTCCTCAAATTGACACTATTCTAACTGTATGCTAACCTTTCCTTACATTCCTGTTGTTGTCAGGTGCCTTGAGTGGACTCTGTCTCATAGTGACCTCATGTGACAAAGGAGAAGTGCCCTACTTAGGGTTCTTAGATGACAATCTTTACAGAAGCAGTTCACCAGGTCGTTTCTCCTGTGGAGCCACTGGGTGGGAATGAACCACCAACCTTTCAGTTAGCAGGTGAGCGCTTAACCACTGAGTCACCATGGCTCCTCCTCATTTCCATACAACCTAGCTTAACTAAAACCTGTCTGCCATGAGTGACTGCTAGTAA